CCCCCCGCCCGCCGCCCTGGAGCCCCACCTTGGCCAGGCGTCCCCGGGCTCCTCACAGCCCTGCACTGCACTGCCCATACCCCATCCAGGGCACAGCAGCCAGGCCTACCTCGCCCCCGTTGGCGTACTCCATGACGAAGCAGAGGCGGTCGTGGGTCTGGAAGGAGTATTTCAGGGCCTGGAAGGCAGTGGGCCACCGGGGCTGAGCAGGCGGAGCACCCGGGCAGCCCCCAGCGCGAGGCCGGTGAAACACGGATGAGCCGGGTCCCTGCAGAGCAGGGCTCAGCGCCGGCAGCTGCAGCCCAGGGCACACGCTCCCAGCCAGAGCTACCGGCTCCTGGCCAAGTGCCCTGGGACAGGGGCCCGCCTGCACACGCCCCTGACCCGTTCCCTGGGATGGGGACCCGCTGGGTGTAACCAAAGGAGGCAGCACCAAGGCAGTGCCCAGGGTGTGTGGGGTGGGGACCGAGGTCACCCAGCGCCCTCCCTCCACACAGGGAGTTCCCACACCCCACCCCGCGCGGCCCCTCACCCTGCCCCTGCCCCTGCTCCGCTCGTCCGCCACGCCTAGCCTGGTGCCAGGGAGCCTCCGCGTGGGCCTGGCATCCTGGGAGGCGGCTGTGCGAGTGCCCCAGCCCCACTCACCGTGAGGAAGGGGTGCTTGGAGTTCTGCAGGACTCGGTTCTCTGTGAGCGTGTGGGCCACCTCGTCCTGAAAAGCAGGGCAATGAGCACCCCGCGCCCGGCTGGCCCGCCACCCCGCCGCCGGCGGCCCAGCCACCTTGGCCACGATGACCTCCTTCTTGAGGATCTTCATGGCGTAGTAGCGCCCGGTGGCCCTCTCCTTCACCAGGATCACCTTCCCAAAGGTGCCCTTGCCCAGCAGCTTCAGGTACTCGAACTCGCTCATGGTCTGAGGGCCGGGCGGGGCCTGGTCAGCGGGCTGTCACCCAGCACCTGCCCCCGGGGCCTGAAGGCAGGCTGTGCGCACAGGCGAGGGAGCTGGGCACCGGCCACCGGGCCCTGCGCAGTCCAGGCTCTGGGAGCCCCCTCTGTTCGCCAGCTGGGCACCAAACCCTGACCCGCGGCCCTGCTTCTCTTTTGACGTGGGGAAGGACTAGGCGGGGCCGCGGGTGGCGGGGGCAGGGGCTCACCACACGGTGCTTGGGCCTGGCCAGTGACACCTCCATGTCCTCGGCCCCCGAGCTGTCACTGGGCGAGCCTGGCCGGAAGTCCATCCCCTCCTCCTCTTGCTTCTTGAGCCCGTCTGCCACCGTCTGAATGGCAGTGGTCCACTCCTCCCTGTGGGCGGTCAGGAGGCCAGCCTGAAGCAGGCACTCACCCGCAGTGGGCACTCGCCCACCACCCACCCCGGCATGGCCATGCAGCCCAACTCGGGGCAGCCAGATCTGGAAGACTGCCCCAACGCTCCTGGGCCCAGCCCTTGCAGCCTGCTTCCCCGCCCGAACCACACCAGCAGGACCAGGCCGGCACTGAGGCGGGGGCTCCAGGACGAGTGGGCAAGGGCAAGCAAGGAGGGGGCACTGGCACCACCCGGCGTACCGTTCCTCGGGCGTCTCCACGTGGAAGGTGCGCTCGATGACTGTGGTCCACTGCAGGCAGCGGATGATGAAGGTGTTGGGCCGCGGCCGCTCCGTCTTCATCAGCTGGCACTCTGCCGGCAGGGGAGCAGCCATCTGCGCACGCCCACCTGCCACTCCCTGGGCCCTCCCAGTCCTGGCCACAGGTCATCGCTCTCTGCACCCCCCCACCACTCCAAGTCTTACTTCCTGCCCGGTAAGATGGGACAAGAGCCCCATTCCAGCTCAGGTCTCTCCTCTGGGTATGAGGCCCCCAGGAGGGTCAGGCCACAGCTGTCCTGGGGTTTTCCTCTTCCCGGAGCCCCTGCCACACGCAGGCCCCGGAGGGAGATGGGCAAGGAAGGCCCAGGAAAGGGCTAGCAGTGAGGGGGCCGGAAGGAGCTCCTCCCACTTGCAGGGACCAACTGCCGTCCCACCACAACTGGAGCACCAGGCGCACACCCTTAGCACACTCGTACCTGAGCTCCACACCCCTGGATCACATGCACACCTGGAGCTCACGTGCACCTGGAACGCATGCACATCTGCAACACACACCAGGAGCTCGCACACACCTGGAGCTCCCACACACCTGGAACACACATGTACCTGGAGTACATGTACACCTGGAACACACACAAGGAGCTCACACGCACCTGGAGCTCACACACAGTTGGAACACATGTGCACCTGGAGCACACACACACCTGGAGCACACACACCAGGAGCTCACACGCACCTGGAGCTCACACGCACCTGGAGCTCACACGCACCTGGAGCTCACACACACCTGAAACACGTGCACCTGGAGCACACACACACCTGGAACACACATACACCTGGAGCTCACACACACAGCTCACATGCACCTGGAACACATGCACACCTGGAGCTCGAGCACACTTGGAGCTCACACACCTTACACAGACCTGGAACACATGCACACCTGGAACACACAAACACCAGGAGCTCGCACACACTTGGAGCTCAAGTGTACCTGGAACACACGCACACCTGAAGCCCACATGCACGTGGAGCTTGCATGTGCACCTGAAGCTTGAACACACTTGGAGCTCACACACCCCCAGAGCATGCACCCCCACATCACATGCACATCTGGAAAGCACACACACCTGGAGCTTACACACACCTGGCACTCACATGCATCTGGAATGCATGCACACCCAGAGCACACGCACAACGGGAGCTCACATTCAGAATACACAGGTTCCTGCACCATAAATGCTCCTTCACAAACACACCTGTATCACATACACACACCTGCACCACATGCACTCCTATGCATGTGCCTTCACCACACACAGCTGTACCACACATGCCTGCACCACACGCACTCCTGTACCACACACACCTGCACATGACCTCCTGCACCACACATGCCTTCACTACACACACTCCTGTACCACATGAACTCCTGCACCACATGAGCTCTTGCACTACACATGCCTTCACCAACGCACTCCTGTACCACACATGCCTGCACCACACACTCCTGTACCACATGCACCCCTGCACCACATGTGCCTTCACACGCACTTCTGCACCTCTCTCCTGCACCTGCACCACACGCACTCCCACACCACTCGTACTCCCGCACCTCACGCTCCTGCACCACACGCGCTCCTGCGCCTCATTCCTGCACCTGCACCTCATGCTCCCGCACCACTCGAATTTCTGCACTACACACACCCCTGCACTTCACTCCCACACCTGCACCTCGTGCTCCTGCATCACTCGCACTCCCACTCTACTCGAATTTCTGCACTACACGCACCCCTGCACTTCACTCCCGCACCTGCACTACACACACTCCTGCACCTCACACTCCCACACCTTGTGCTCCTGCACCTCATACTTCTGCACCACATGCACTTCTGTATCACACACTCCCACACCTCACTCCCACACCTGTACCACATACACACCTGCACCACACATACATCTGCACCACACGCACACCTGTACCACACTCCCACACCTGCACCATGCACAGCTGTACCACACACACCTGCACCACACTCCCACACCTGTGCCACACACATGCCTGCACCACACATACACCTGTACCACACGTACACCTGTACCACACACACGCCTGCACCACACGCACACCTGTACCACACGCACACCTGCACCACACGCACACCTGTACCACACACACGCCTGCACCACACGCACACCTGTACCACATGCACGCCTGCACCACACGCACGCCTGCACCACACGCCTGCACCACACGCACACCTGCACCACACGCACACCTGTACCACATGCACACCTGTACCACACACACACCTGTACCACACTCCTGCACCACACGCACACCTGTACCACACGCACACCTGTACCACACGTACACCTGCACCACACACACGCCTGCACCACACGCACACCTGCACCACACGTACACCTGCAGCACTTGCACACCCGCAGCACACGCACATACCTACAGTACACACGTACACCTGGAACACATGCGCCTAGAGCAAACATGCAACTGGACACACCCACACCTGGAGCACTCCTAGCTGGAGCACACACCTGCAGCTGAGGGAACTGGGCAGGGCGGTGTTGGGGAGCACGCAGACCCTGAGGGGCTGTGTGACTGGTGTTTGCAGCTGGCCTTCTCCCCGTATTCCGGCCCAGCCTGTGTGAGCAGGAAGGATGGGGGGCCAGTAGAGGGGCCTCACGTTCCAGTGTCTGGGCCCTGGCAACCATGAGGGGCCCTGTGGGCTCACTGAGTAAGCAAAGGAGGGGCGTGTTTGCCAGACCTGGGGGCCAGTAGGGGCCTTGGACCCCGTGGGGGGCAGCCTTCTCGTCCAGCATGCCAGCTTGTTGGTGGCCGCCAACATGACGCCACTGCAGGTCCCTCCGCCCCCCTTGCTGCTGCGTGCAGAGGCCCCGCACAGCCGCCCTCCACCACCCCCCAGTCCTTCCCACCCGCACAGCCGCCCTCCACCCCCAGGCCTCCCCTGCTGCTGGGTGCAGACACCCCGCATGCCTGCCCCTCCACCTCTAGGTCCCCTCACTCCTTCTGGGTGTAGAGGCTCTGCAGAGCCGTCCTCCATCCCAGCCCCAGACCAGGCCACCAATCTCCTGCAGCCTGGGTCTGGCTTGGGGTCTCGCCCTGCCCTGTGCTCAGGCAGCCCAGCGGCCTCCCCACCTCTCCCTCCTCCAGAGCCCTATAGCCCTGCCCCATCTCCCTCAACCCAGCCCCAACTGTGCCAGGCTGCTCTGCAGCTGCTGGGCCTGGGGCAGGAGAAGCCTGGGAAGGGGTTCAGAGCTCACAGGAACTGGGGCCCAGGAATTTCCCCACACCCCCCAAGAGGCCCCTCGGCCTGAAGCCTTGCAGGGCAGGGCTCAGCTCCTCAGTTGGGGCCTGGCCAACCTCCCAGCACACAAGTCTCTCCTTTTACCAGCAGCCGCCATCACCCTGGGCCTGTACTTGCAGCCTGGAGACAGCTCAC